GTCCCGGTCCTGGAGCCGCTGCCCCGGGGTCCAGTCTCGCTCTGTCGGTACCTGAAACAAAGCCTTAGCTCCGAGTCCGAGGAGAGCGAGCTCTTCTCTCTTCTGGGAGGGAACCCAGTCCCCATCGGAGTTTTCAGCCCTTCAGATGGGATGCCCCGGGGGAAAAAAACACCCAAACCCCAAATCTGGAAAGCTCAGAAGGGCCAAGGAAATGCTACGGCGCAGCTTTGTTTATTTTCTTAGGTTCGAGGAGGATTTCTTTTTTTTTTTTTTAAACGCTTTCCTTAGCTAGTCATTCCGCTAAGTAGATGCAGGACTTGTGCAGAACTGGCCGGAGGAAAAAAAGTTCAGAAACTGTAGGGCTTTCTGTTTCTCCACCCCTTTCAGGTAACAGCTCTAGAGGCTTGGGGGATGGAAAGTCCCTTCTCACTCTTTCTTGCATACCCCCTGCTTCTCTCATTTACACAAATCCGCAGGTAATTAGAAAGATAAAATTGTCATTAGCTCATTGTTCTGGTCTCCTTGGGGAGCGGGGCTCTGCAAATTGGAGACTTTCCTAACAGCCTCCCGGATGGGCGCGAGGTTCCTCTCAGAACCCCCCTCCCACTTAAAGGGCAGTTCTTCAGGGAAAGGGGGAAGATCATCCTGGAGAGGCAACAAAACAAAATGGAACAAAACAAGTTAACAAGCAAGCAAAAAAACAAAACAAAACAAAAAACCCAAAAAACCCAAAACCAAAAACCAAAAACCAAATAAACAAAAACAAGCCAGCACGGTGAATTCCGCCAGGAATTCGTCGGAAGCAGAGTTGAGGCTCAAAGATGTGGAGGTTGTCAGGGACAGGGAGCCGAGCTCTGGGTGCGGGGCACAGGTTCCAAGGGCTTTTTGAGGAAAGGGCTTAGGATGGGGGGACCCGCTGCTTGCTGGCTTAGCTTATCTTCAAGTGATGCCAAGGCAAACTGTCCACCGAGGGGTGTGCTCCACGGAGTGAGGGTGGGGTGGTCTGGGGAAAGGGCACCCTGAACTTTCAATGCCCCGGCTTATTCCAGGGAAGGGGGAGATGGGTCCAGAGTGGCCGACGTGGGGTGGCAGGCCCCGAGGGTGGCAAAGACAGCAGCCTGCCCGCAGTGGCCAGGTCCGGGCACCCCTGCTGTCCCCTCCTGAGGGTCTGCACAGGGTTAGCCTTCGGGGAGGTGCAGCCCTCCGAGGAGAGCTGAGCCGTTACCTGGAGCAAACAAAGCACTTTGTGTTCTGTCCGTGTGCGACGCACGGGGCTTGCCTTCTCCCCTTCCTTGCCACTGGCTGCTGGCCGGGAGATTAGCCCGGAGAGGCCGCGGCCAGCTCTGCTGGGGCTGAGTCCATTCCCAACTGTCTGTTTCAGGCACAGTTAGTGTCAGAAACTTTCCAGGTGGATTGCCTTTCGACAGGAAGATAGAAGGACTGGCAGGGGTGCCTACACTTTTGAAGGAACAAGAATCCTCCCAAGTCCCGCCCCCCCCCGGAAAGTCAGGGATTGCGGGACAGAAACCAAAGAACTGCTGTCTTCTTGAAGCCTTTTACTCCCTGACCTTTGCACCATCTCCTCCGTCCTTTCCCTCCATCCCAGGAGTGTGCAGATAGTCACCTTCCCCAGCCAAGCTGCAAACAGAACAGTGGTGATGGGACCAGGGACCAGACAGGTGGGGGACTTGGGACCTGGTTTTCTCCCTGCCGTGTTTTTGGTGCGAGGCTCTGCCCTGAGAGGGCACCGCTGCTCCCCAGGACTGCAGCCCCTCGGTGGGAGGGAGCCCTCCAGGACTTGCTCTGGCCACTGGCTGTCAGCACAGAGGTGGGAGGGCTGCGCACCCAGGTTGAGACAGACCCAACTGCTGGTCCTCGTAACCTTGTGGCTGGCGGCTCTGGAGTAAGAACTGGTACTTTTGGCTGAGACTGCGTGCACCTGCACGACCATCATCCTTTCTTCTTTTTATTCTGTAAGATTAAAACCGAATTTTCCAAGCAGCGGCACATCTCTGCATGCCGTAGGCTGGATTCTGTTCACATACTTGGGCAACTGCCGTTGGGGATGTTGGGCAGGACTTTGTGGCCACATGTTATTAAAGATAAACTTGATCCTGAGAAATGAGTCAAAGGACACTGCCCCACCCCCTGCCACTGCCAAAGGCTGAAGCCCAGGCGCATCAGCGTCTGTTATGGGAGAGGCAGTTTTGTGTGCGTGTGTGTGTTTGAGGGATGTGCCGTGTACGTACATCTGTGTTGATTTTTTTTTTAATTCACTTAATCCTGATTCCAGTGTTGGACTTTCTACTCTCCTCCCCGTTTTAGTTTTTGGTTCTTTGGTTTTAAATATTATTTGGAATACACTTTAAAATAGCGATTTAGTTCTGCCTCCGATGGATGACTGGGTGGGTTTCTCCTGCTAAGGCCCCGAGGGACGATCTGGAGAGGGCACAAATCAACTTGCCCTACACAGTGTGTAGCTGCTCCAGAGTGGGCTGCGAGAAAAGTCGAGGTAGGAAAAAGCCACACTAACCCACGGAGCTCACCCCGGCCAGCTCCTGCCCCTCTGGGAGACTCTGAAGGCCAAATGTAGCAGATGGGACTGAGAAAAATGCCCGTGTGGTGGCCAGAGCCGTCGGCCACCAGCCGGATCAGGGACCTCAGGGTGTCCAGGCGAGATGATGTGAGTGAGCGGAGGGCAAGGAGACCCGGTGTTTATATCCTGGTCGTCTTGTCCTGCTACTTGTGGGCGAGGTTATTATATGCATAGAACTTTGCAGCGTGATGACTTCCACTTAAAAAAAAAAAAGTAATCCAAACCAGGAAAGCCCCAAAGCACAGTTCACCCTCCTGATGTAGGGACCGCGGTCCTTCCCATATTATGGGACTTCCTTTCCTTGTTTTTCTCCTCACGGAAGCAAGAACCACAATGCTGGGTAAGTTTTTCCCTTTTGTCGGAAACACGACCTCTGGAATCCAGTCTGAAGTTCTGGCTGAAAAGCAATTTTCCAGCATCTGAGCCAAAAGATAGCCCCACAGTCTTCTGCTTGGAGCGTGGCTGTGGTTCTTGCTGCGGAAAGAATCTGGACTGTGTTTGGCCCCGGGAACAGAGTTAAAGGTGGGAGAGGAGTCTGTCCATAAAAAGTAAGGCACGGGCGGTCTCTGCCGGGCCTCACAGGTACCCTACATGGAAGTGGGGGGTGGTCGCTGGAGACCAGCTGTGTCCCGGGGGCCCACTGGCTGGAGAGAGCTGTGCGGCTCCCTCCTCATCCACCATGGGAGGCTCTGCTCACGTGTCTGAGCTGTAGGAGATCTGGAAGCCCAAGAGGATGCTGCCGTAGGAGCCATGGGGAGGGAAGGGGAGGAGGGGGACAGAGAGCCTCATGTCAGAGCTGAAGTTGCTCAGCACAGCATCCTCCCCTGGGGTGACTCCTGCAGCTCCAGCCTGGCGTGGCCTCCAGTGCTGCGCTGCGGGTGGCGAGCTCTTAGAAGGAAGGTTTTCTTCCTAGACCATGGGTTCAGCTCCAGGTGGTCTGACAGATGATGAGGGTGATGGTGAGATGGTGGCGGCGGTGACAGCTGCCTCACCTTCTGGGGATGCCACTGGGCTGCCTCCTCGCTGTCCATCCATGGAGCCCCTTTACCTCCTGGGGTTCCCTCCAGCACCAGCAGCATTTGGCTTGGAGGAGCTGCTGGCCCTGGCCTCTGCGAAGCCTCCTCCCCTGGGCGCAGCCGCCTCCAGCGGCCCCCACGCCTGTGGCACACACACCTCCTCTTCAAAGCACTTCACAGTGTGAAAACGCCTCCAGAGGGTCTCTCCCGTCTGGTCCCGCAGTGTCCTTCCATTTGGCCGCACGGCTGGTGCCGACCCGAGCCCTCGCCCCGTAGGATCTCCCCGCAATAGGCCTTCTGGGGAGAAGGGCTCAGGGCCTGGGGTTGGAGTTTGTGAGTCCTGCTGAGTTTCTTTCTTGGCTCCCAGAGAGCTGGTTGGATGGATCTGCTGTCTGGTGGGGAGTTTGGGAACCAGCAGGGGGCAGGAATGGGGTGGGCGTATGTCAAGGAAAGGGGAGAAAGAACAGGACACAAACACCGGTTATAAGCCAGCTTTTCTAGAGACTCACCACACCTGGTCAAGCCACGATTCATAGGACCGGCCCCATTCAGCCCCAGATATGCTGGTCTTAATCACTGTATCATGTTCAGCAGCTTCTAGTCCCCCAATTTTCAAGAAACTCTGTGTCTGTTTATGGCCTCCAGGACTCTTTTTGTCTCAGGCTGCCCTTGAGAAATTCCAGAAGACCTTTAACTCCTTTCAGCCTGGTCCCGGGGCTGATCTCTGTCCCAGGGGTGGTTCCTCCCTGCGGCCCCACGCCTGTAACTCACAGCTCCTGTTCTCCCCTTTCCCTCCCCAGGCACGCCGGTGTGTCCTCCGTGTGACAACGAGTTGAAATCTGAAGCCATAATTGAGCATCTCTGTGCCAGCGAGTTTGGTAAGAAAGCACCCCTGGCTCTTCCCGGTCCGCATCCCTGGTGCACAGAGCCTGTTGGAACATCTTTCTGCGTTTTCTCTACCTCCATCTGCCCTTGGGTGTGTGGGATCACTGGACAGGTTTGGGGGGACCTTCTGTAGGAGTGGAGGAAGGCAGGCTTGGGGAGAGTTGGAGAGGAACTGGGGGAAACCAGGAGGTACCGCGGGAGACTCGGGCTGGCCTCTCCACACGGCTCTTTCTCCATCCACCCCTAGGTGTCAGCACCACTCTGCCCAGGACCCAGGAGGGGAGCATCCAGGCTTAGGGCACTCAGAGTGGGGGGCAGCTGTCAAGTCTTTCTAGGCAAGGAAGCTGACAGCCCCACCACGGGGAGATTTCCCTTCCTTGTTCCCAAATCACTCCGGGTTAAAAAGGAATTTCAGATCAGTGCTTGCAGCCCCAGGAGAAGGATGGATGTGGCCCCGAGGGGCTGATCTCAGGGGGCCTTGCAGAGACAGTCTGCAGAGTCACACAGCCCCACACTGCCTGAGTGACATGCTTTTCTTCCACAAACTGGGTTGAGATTCCTTCCCGAAGACACACGAGGGCATCAAGAAAAAAGGATGTAAATAAAATCTCTCAAATCCTGGTGAGAAGCCTTTTGCTGCATGGGGGTGGGGGCGAGGGCGGGGCAGGGGTGGGAGAGCAGGAAGAATTTTCCCAGTTGGGGCTGTGGTCCCGAAGGATCTTAACAGGGGATGACACTCAGGGGCCGCTGTTAGATTTCACTGACCCTCTTCGGATGTCGTAAATCACCACACTCGCTTTGAGAAGTCGGCTCCCTGACATGTCAGCAAATCCAGGGAATCATGTTAGAATAACTCTGAAAGGTAGTATATTAGCTGATGTTTTATGCTCAGATGACTTCTGTCCGGCTCAGCCCCTGTGGGAAGCGTGGTGGGAAACCCGGGACTGAGTGTGTCGGGGCGGGTCCTGCCTTCCATCGGGGGATCAAATTCCTCCAGTCCAATCGTTCCTTGATCCACTTGTCTAGTCATTCAACATTTCTGGTTTTTTTTTAAATTGGGTCTTTTTTTATTGAAGTATAATCAGTTTACAGTGTTGTGTTAATTTCTGGTGTACAGCATAGTGATTCATTTATACATATATATTCCTTTTCATATTCTTTTTCATTATCAGCTATTAGAAGGCATTGAATATAGTTCCCTGTGCTATACAGTAGGACCTTGCTGTTTACCTGTTTTATATATAGTAGTGTGTATCTGTAAATCCCAAACTCCCGATTTATCCTTCCCCACCCCCTTGCCCTGCTGGTAACCATAAGTCTGTGAGTCTGTCTTTGTTTTGTAAGTAAGTTCATTTGTGTCTTTTTTTTTTTCAGATTTCACATATAAATGAAATCATATGGTATTTTTTCTTTCTCTGTCTGACTTACTTCACTTAGAATGACGATCTCCAAATCCATCCATGTTGCTGTAAATGGCATTATTTTATTCTTTTTTATGGCCGAGTAGTATTCCATTGTATAAATATACCATAACTTATTTATCCAGTCATCTTCAATGGACATTTAGGTGGCTTCCATGTCTTGGCTATTGCAAATAGTGCTGCTGTAAACATTGGGGTGCATGTGTCTTTTTTTTTTTTTGAGTGCAGAACGCTGTGCTGAATACCATGTCCAAAAATACTGACCTAGAATAGAATAGATTAAATTTTCATTTCAAAAGTTTCTTAACCCCGACCAAACACAAATCAGTGCTTTCCTAGAGAATCGTGGGGTCATTTTATAAGTCACTGGCTGTGGGACTCAAGGCAAAGTTCATGTTCCGGAGCTGTGAGAAGAGAATCCACATCTTCATGCTCAGAAGTTTTGCCTGGAACTTACTAACCCGGATTCACTGGGGGCTTTGTGGCAGCTAGTTGAACAAGAGCCATTCCCTAGACACGGGCTGATGAGACAAACCTTGGGAAAGAATTTGAATGTGAAGATTGCCATTTTGGTGGAGGGCAAAGGTCTAGAGGTTGCTCAGGTGACCCCCTTGGGGATGGACATCCTCTCCCCACCACAGTGGGCGCCTATGCAGTCAGCAAGTCCCCAGCTCCCTGAGTGCGGCGCCAGGAATGTGTCTCATTTTAAGCACGCAGGGCTTAGCGAATCTGAGTGATTAGCAGTTTGGGCCTGTGTTCCATTCCCTCTGAGATTATCTTCTTGAGTTCCTAGGACTTTTGAGTTCTTCTGGATCCTCCAGGTCATCTTATCAAGTCCACTTATTTCATAAATAAAGCATCTGACTTTCCCCGCTGGAATTCTTTTGCTCTGTCACGCTGCCTTCTCCACTTAAGATGAGCAGCCACTGGGCTCGGTCCTCGAGGCATGTGTCTCCTCTGCACGGATGTGCTGGACACCAGACGTCTTTTTCTGGATGCAGGAGAGATTTTTCTGGGTTTTTCGTTTGTCATGTTCTCATCGAGCAATAAATAGGATTTTTTTTTCTATCTCTCTCTCTGCAGAGGCTGAGCTCAGCTCTGCCCTTCTCAGCATCCCAGAGAATGCAGCCTTGTTGAGAAACTTGTTTCCTAGCTCAGTTCACTTCAAGTAAGCGAGGCAGTCAGCCACGCTGATGGGATTCGGTTAGGAAACAAAGAAATTCAGCAATGCCAGCTGACACACAACGGAGAAGAGAAAGAATGTTTTAGTCCCCACTCCAGGGATCAGACTTTGCATTAAGTGGCCCTGACATCCCCGGTGGGATGACATTAGGTTGTCGGAGGGCCCTCTGGGAGCTCCAGGAACAAGGGTGCATTCCTTCTGGGTCAGCACGCACTCGCCCTCTGCCTGTGCAGCCTCAGCGTCCTGCCGCCGCCGCCGAGGAGCTGGACTTGCCCAACTCATTACCGCCTCCCTGGGCGGCGTGCATTTTGAACTCCCCGGCAGGTCTGCTTGGCCACCAGTCTCTCGACCCCTGCACTGTACCTCCTCAGTTCAGAGCACTTTTTTTCCCCCCCAACAGGGAAAAGCATCAGTAGAAACACCTGTGTGCTGATGCTTAGGAATGCAGCTGGATCAGCCTGGATCAGGCACCAGATGTGTGGAAGCCAGAAGTTAGATGGTGCAAAGTCTCTGAATTCAACATGGCAGCCTTCCTGCCCGCTGGGCATCAATTAGGAGGCCCAGCCCCGCATTTTGTTCTCGCTCTGCTTTTCCTGCTGTCTGACAACAGGGGGTTGCTCTTTTCTCTTCGACGGGTCAATATATTATTTGCAAGCTGGCACAGTAATAATCCTGCTGTTCACAGCTCGCTGCCCATGACCGTCTTGCCTTCAGCTTAGCTTATCCCACGGATGGGAGGATCTGATTTAGCGTGGCTGGGAGGTTAGGACCCCGCCTCTGGCCACTCTCTAGTTTCTCCAAGATCTGTGAACACCCTTAAGCGTTTCTGGTAGAAATGTGCAGGGTAATATTCTCGTAAGATAGTTCAGAGCTTCCGTTTGTATTGGCTTCTGCTTTGCTTTGTTTTGTTTTGTTTTGGAGAGTTCAGGGGGCAACTTCTTGAGGTCAGTATTTCCTTGCTGGTGGAAAAAGATTTCTTGGCCCCCAGAAACTTTCCTTGCCTTCTGGAAGCATTTTTCACCCCCTCATTTATATGTTTCCTCATAAAGGGTAAAACTGTACATTGCAACACTAAAATGAGTCAAATAGGAGAGAGGGGAAAAAAAATCGGCTCTTGCTATTAGTATTTGGGAGTATTTCCTAGAAGAAACATTCTCGGCGGTTCCTGCACCTTCAGTAATTTGTTCTCACTCTGCCTCACTCTTCCTTCAAGGTGTCTTGGCTGCGCTGCCGTCGGGAGGCCCAGTGTTTTAACTTCTGAAGGGGCAGTCTGATTTCTTGCAAAAAGTAGGCTCAGCCTTTCCAAGCTAAACCTTGGGTTTCCTCCCGCAGAGGAGGAGAAGTGGCTGCCAGCGCAGTCATCGCAACGTCTGTCGGGGCTGCCTGAGAGCAGGGCTCTGTCTCTGGTACCGTATTCCACCTAGTGTAAGACACCGCTTTGTGGCGAGATGGGCTGTTCATCACACGGGAGATGCACCGCCGACGAAGGAAACACACTTCACGGTAAAATGCGCAGAGGGTCTGTGTGCTAGAGTGAACAAAACAAGGCCTGTTTGGGCTCAAATCGTCCTTGGCACAGCGTCTTAACGCACGGTCGGCATAAAACAAAAATTGGTCAGACACGTGTACGGAGGACGAGGAAGAGCAGGGAGGTGGAGTTTGGACTCCTGTTTTGGAAGAAGAGAAAGTGCCTTCCCAAATGAATGTGTAAAACTTGTTGATGACGTTCCAGGAAAACTACATGCACTGTTTTGGGTGACTGAGTGTATATGTAAAAAAAAGGCCTTAATGTCCAGGAATCTAAGTAAAATTCAGTAGACACGGAGGAGGGAACCGTAACCCCGAGGTGGGGAGTTGGCAGCTGAAAACAACTGGTTTTTATTGTCACTGAAGATCTCGAGAATACACATCCCACGCGCAGATGTGTCAATAGTTGGAAGGAATCGTACGGCACCTGATGTTCAGGGAAACGTGGGGCCAACGCGCCCTGGAAGTGCAACTTGCGGCTCGAGGCCCGCAGCCACTCCCGAGTACCCCTCCCACGATGGGGGCGGCTTCTTCCAGGCAGAAACCACGGCTGGACCAGGCCTTGGGAGCCTTCGAATTGGCCGGGTGGGTTGTGATGGCCCGGCCACAGTCCCCGAGTGGAGAGTTCCTTAGCAGGCTGGACCTGGGGGTCTGGCAGGAGGAATCAGGTCCTGGGCAGTTCGGGCTGAGGTCCCTTGGGGACCACCTTGCACTGTGAAGCTACATCGAGGAACCGTGAGGAAAAACAGGGGAAAAGAGCAAGAATTCCCCCTGTGGTGAGCAGGGTGCACCCTCTCTCCACATCAAATTCTCTCCTGAGTGTAACTGACAGGAAGATACTAAGATAAGGCAAATGTCAACG